GTGGGCGTGTCGGCACATGAGTGGTTGCTACGCTGACCAGGCGGCGCAGATTGTGAGTTGAACAGTCAAGTATGTGGGTGACTTGGTCGCTACAGAAGCAACAAGAATAGTGAATTCCCGAGAGTTCATAGCCTCAAGTGACCAAAATCCAGGGGAGGCGAATGAACAATAACTCAACATATTGTTATTAGAAGGAAACCGTCGACTTCTGTAATCTCTCGTCGTCCATTGTTTTGCCATGAATGTACCCCGTGCTTTAATATGATCCAGTCAGTGTGAGTGCGTATGATATTTTGGTCAACAAACCCTGAACTCATAGACAAGTCGTATATCCGTGCGCCGCAGAACATGCAGGCTGTGGAGAATGCCAGCGTAATCTTGTCCAGACGAGCCATACGATAGGTATGTACCGGCTGCTGGGAGATCCACTCTACTGCCAGAAAGCTCTGTTGATCCGTGATACATATGTGCTTCTTGATAGCTTCGAGAACAAGGAAACCGAGTGGGCGTCCAGGCAAACTATGGATGCCCATAGTTATGTCACCGAAAGGCTCAAGAGGGACTTCGTCACTGGATTCTGTTTACCAACCATTTACCTAAAACCCAGGCAGTTTGCGACCTTGGGCGGATAGTTTGACTTTCACAACAAAATACGTGACCGGACGCCGGGTAATCAAGCCAGCAAGGTGTCAATGTTTTATTTTGGTTCTGCACATCAGTTACCATAACTACCCAACCCAGCCGGCTCGCCGCGTGTATTTAATCGACGCTCACAACCGCTGGAAGAACTCGCGGTAAAGCCATCTGTACAGTTTGGCGAGAAGTATGTGACAATAATAATTAGTATGTTTACCCTCAACTTGTGGGTGGCATACCGTCAAGTATGATTATTATGCTAACGTCAGAATAAAAGCAGGACTGGCTGGGATTGTCGGCACAGAAATTTAAGAAAAAGGACAGCATCATAGGGGGTGGGTATTATCCAAGTCGGCATGATCGCCACCAAACCAGCAAGTTGCTAACGTCAGAATAAAAGCAGGACTGGCTGGGATTGTCGGCACAGAAATTTAAGAAAAAGGACAGCATCATAGGGGGTGGGTATTATCCAAGTCGGCATGATCGCCACCAAACCAGCAAGTGCAGGGAAGCACAGTTACTATGCATTATTGAACAGCATATCATGCAAAGTCGGATCGGCAGGAGTTGAAGGAGGCGGGTAAAAAAACAAGGCGAGGGGAGCGAAGCGAGCGTTCTCCTACCTGACGCATGACACGAAAGCGTAACGGTGAAAAGTGAGAAACCAGAACATTACATCTGGTGAAGCAGCAGAACTGGCGTCATCCAGCCGGTCATGCTGAACTAAAATCTAGAGCCAGTACTTAGGCCTCGTGGTTTTGGACTGTTATGCTCATTGCCAGTGTCACAAAAAGTGTAAGTGGAGTTGATGAAGTGGTGGATTTGGTGAAGTTGATAAGTGGCGACAGGAATTGTAGAAACATCGTGTACAACAAAATTGTAGAGACTCACCGGTCTCGCTGTTGTGAAGTCGGGCATTGTATTTACTTTGAAAAGTGACGTATTGGCAATCCGCGAGCTAGAACACGAACCGCCTTAAAAGTTATTGAATTTTGCATGAGGCACAGACACACAGAGATGGTTAAATTCGAATGAATAGTTTAGCAGTTTGGTATGAGCATACCACATGGGCAGCTGAGGTCAGACAGGGAGTAAGTCGTATTTGCAGCTAATGGAACGGGTGTGCCAGAGGGCACGGTCGGGAGGAGGAGTGGAATAGTTGCAGTTGTGCCATCGAACTGGATGTGGCGGTGTCGTGCTAGCACTGTCCTGTTATGCTTCAGTTTTTGGATAGCTCCGTAACAGATGTTCTATTTTAGGTGATTGGGCTGGGATGTGCGGTTCTTTGAGCAGCGGGATTCATTTAAGGCTGGCCGGAGTAAACAAGGTGGAACGAAGCCGTTGTGGGATTGCACGGTTTTTGGCCTGTTTGGGGATCCTGCGGTTGTGGATCATAGGTCGGGTGGAGTGGATAACTGCCAACAAGGTCGACCGAACCGAGAATTGCCGAAGTTCACGATTTGGGAAGGTGAGGGGATGTGGTGAGATTAGTAAAGCATGGTGAGCTTAAGGAGGCATCAAATGGGTTAACGTGCACTATTATATAGAGAAAGAAAAACTTGACGTCTACCGCAATTAGGGTGATGGCAAGTGATTATATGGAATAGATGTAGATAAATTTGTGTTTAATACACTAGCGACCAAGGGTTGGGTTTCAAACAAACTATATTACAGCACAAGGGATTTAGCGAAAGCGATATAAGCACGCAGAGTGGTAGTGTGATTAGGGAAATCAGGTG